CGTGCTGGGAACCCGGCCCAATGTCCCTTTATAATTGGAATACATTAATGATTGATGAGAATTTGGGATGATTCAGGAACACTTCCAGATGATTGAGATAGCAAGCTAGAGATTGGCGCTGACTACTGAGAATGCTTATCTACTCAGAACTCACATATTACCCTAACCCTAATCTTAGGTATTCAAATCAACCAGCCAATCTCTACCAAGCCAATATTGTGTACCAACCAAGCCTCTACCCGGTCTCACACCCCAATCCAACTAGGTTACAGGGCAGTGCCCACCCACCCCAGCGCCGACCCTCGTCGGCCAGATTGTAGCCTTTGGTCGAGTATTATGATTGCCTTCCACCCTCAGCAATCCCCATATCTCTATCCAAGGCCTCAAGCTCCTTATGAAGATCACAGGGTGATGCCCCATCACCGACCAGCGTCGTTCTGGCTACTACTCAACCTAGGCAAAAACACAATAAAAACTCATTTAGGGAATCAACTATATTAGAATGTCACCTAAGAATTCGGATCTGATAATGGTAGGATCCAGAGCAGACAACCAATCTGATGACGCTGGTGATGATGTTGATGTGAAGATGATGATGATCATACGATAGATGATGAAGATAGATGCTGGCTTCGTCTTCCTCTTTCCTCCTCTTTTCTTTCCCCTCTTTGCTCCCCTCTTCCCTTCTCGCTGCCTCCGCCGAGTATAACTATCTGATAATAGGCAGTACCAATCAGCTTGCGCGTGGAGGGGCACAAATTTGTGGTTCGTCCAAATGATGCTCGTTAGCCATTTGCAGATCGCCCATGTGGTCTACACCTTGTGGGGTTAACTGCAATCCGGGCAGATCATGTTCCAATCCCTCAACGTTTGGGGCCGCATCCTGAGCAGGGACTGTCCCGGGAATTGGGAATGTACTCTGGGCAGGGACCACATCCTGTTGTACAGGTGGAACATCTAACGTTGAAGGGCATAAGACATGGTGTCGTGGCTTCCTGCAGGCAGCTAAACTGTCTGTCGGAGACATAAGAGTGGATATAATTGTCGTTTGGAACAAAGGAACCGCAACAACCTGCCATAGTAGTGAAAACTGCAATAGCAGAAACTGCCAGAGTGAGAACCAGAGCTGTAGAAAGTGCAGCGCTGAAAACTGCAGCAGTGGAAACCGCAACAATGAAATTTGCAGCAGAGGAAACTTCAGCATTAGAAATTACTGCAGCAATGGGAACTGCTGTAGTAGAAATTGCTGAAGTGAAAACCGGTGCTGTAGAAACTACAGCAGTGAAAACTGGAACAGTCGAAACTGCAGCAGTGGAAACCGCAACAGTTGAAACTGCGGTAGCAAAAGATGAGCAACCAGGAGCAGGACAAGAGCGACACGGGGGCAGAGAAGAAAGTGGACGATACAGGGACCATCCCAGCATGCGTCGGAACCACTGAGAGAGACGCGCCACATACGTAGGATATGTTACACTGGCCGAGCGCATGTAGCAGGTCCACCTTTTAGCAAGGGTTGGTGGGGAATGCCCACGAGAAACAATGCGACGAGTAAGTGTTGTTGCCGCAGTTGCGAAAATCCTGCCATATGTTGCAGATTTGTTCAAATGTGGTCAATTGTCCAGTGAACACACCCGCCGGTTGATGGGAAGGGATGTTGGAGGTCGCACTCGGATAACGAATGACAGGGAAATCCCAAGCAACCGCTTTATCAAACACGCTCATGCGAAGCAAGCCATCAGAACGGACCCGTAGATGCATACCTAAAAAGCTACACGAGCCATCTGTCGTTGTAGTTTCCTTCCACTCATAGGCAAGAAAACAGCATCATTATGTAAGAAATCAGTAACATCAGTCATGGCATGGACCATGATGCCGTTGTCCCACAACTCCCAGTGCTTGTACGATGGCATGTACGATGGCCATGTAATGGCCAGGTCTGTGCACAATGCAGGCAGATATGTGGGATGGAGGATTAAACCACTCACCTGCTCGAGCATTGCGTAGTTCAAGCTAGAGGTCCCTCATTGGTACTTGTACGACAGCAATGGTAAAGCCTCTCTCCCTGGTATAATTACAATCCTTTGGCAGTACGTGGGGAAGATCAGCAGCAAGCTGAAAGGGGATAGCAAGGAAGTCTGATGGTGTATAAAACGGGCGGTGGAGAATGTGAAAACATATATTAGTTGCACACTTGCAGTCAGGCCACAGAGATTGGTGAGGGTCTCAGGCTGGTGTGCCGGATGCTGGCCAACGATTGGCAGATCACCCAGCTGGTGTTGCAAGCCCAAAATGTTTTGGGTTGTTTGCTGGTCAGTCATTTGCAGATCACCCATATATAACAGCTCCAATCTATTACTGGGGAGCGGCACGTGCTGGGAACCGCGCCCAGTGTCCCTTTTGATGATATTTTGGAGGATAATGTGCTCCAGACGACTTGAGCAGATAATATGGGGGGAACCAATGTATCTGTGCCACTGAGTGTTTAATACTAAGAGCTGGAACAATCGCTGGTCACATAGGTTCTCCAAACTGAACATCGCTTCTTAAGATTCGTCGGAAAAGCTATAAAGATAAAAACTTTTCATAAGAAATTCATTGTCAATCCAGAGCTCTCTGAAAAAAATTGAACCTGAAAAATGACTCCAAAACTTCCAACTATCTTGGTCAAAATACTTGGTGAATAAGTACCCCCTCCCCCCTCCCCCCCCCCCCCCCCCCCTCAACACACACCCTGCACCCCCCCAAAGAAAAAGGGGCGAAAAAAGGAAAGCAATGAGTTACTGCAACTTGAACCATCTTTTGGATACTAACCTTTCTAACAAACATGTGGATCCCTAGCAAGGGTGAGAACAAGATGTAAGGATTGCTTCGGAATAGTTCGGCACGGCCAGAAATAATCTCGCCCTTCGGAGAAAAAATGAAATACGGTTTAATACGCTTGTGTATAAAACATCCCTTAGGCTATAGAAAATCGGGAACCAAAGCACAAGACAACGGACCTCATCAACTGTCTAGCAACAGCCACACGGGTGTATCATGCACCCACAGGACTTGGGACCCGGTGTAAAACTGCCTCTTTTCCATAGAGGAAGCCACCAGAATTCAAAGTGGAGCCCCCTTCCACGCAACCCTGAAGAGAGAACTACCAGGAAACTGACCATAATATGCCATTGGGTAAATACTAAAAAGAGCAAAGAAGGAGTCATAAGTGAAAAAAAAACGGTCCGGCAAGACAGATCCAGCATGAGAATGGAGAGAATAAGATACACCCAGAATCACGCTCCGTTAGGCATGAGAACGGAGAGAATAAGATACACCCAGAATAAGACCTCTACATGTTGTCATGATTTTTATTTTTATTTTTTTAATTTTTTTTTTTTTTTTTTTTTTTTTTTTTAAGACAAGGCACCGATCTTTTCGTGGGGAGCAGCAATTGCCGGGAACGGGGCCCAGCGTCCCTTGAATATATACAAAAGAACAGAGTTAAGAGAAAGTTGTCATGATGTTGACTAAAGACGAAGCTGGTTTACCTCACACATACGTGAAGTACATGAGCCGGAAATTCAATCTCGATCTGGTGGCCCAACACTATCTGGGGAGACCAGTTCTAGTGCCAGGCGAGAGAGGAAAGGTGGCCATTGGCACAGCTCGCACCAGTCCAGTAAGTCAGAATCATCACATGCCTCTGTTCGAAGCAAGAGTTAGCCTGTGCAGCAATAAGGCCTCGCCACATCACAGTGACTGTCGAAACGAAAAGAGAACGTTGAATGCATCTTTCGCAGAAATTGGTAAGGTGCATCCCTTGCTATTCATAGTAACAGAAGCATATTGCAACACTCTGAGGGTAGATGCACTCGTACCCTCATTTCGTTTCGACAGTGGTGTGGCAAGGCCCATAATCTAATCCAGTGAGCCAGAATCATCATAGATGGAGCCTCCCTGGGAGTACTAGCGGTGTCTGCTCTTATCAGCACCCCTAGTACCACCTCGGATGTTTTTCCAAAAAAAAAAAAAAAAAAAAAAAAAAAAAAAATCACATGCGTCAGTTCGAAGCAGAAGTTAGACTGTGCAGCAATAATCTAATCCAGTAAGCGAGAATCGTCATATACGTCAGTGTGAAGCACAAGATAGCCTGCGCAGCAACAATCTACTCTGACAATTGGTTGGAGAGGTATTATGACTTTCCTGTGCACCTTCCTTGGATGACAGCAATATACTCGATACGACGGGGTCCACTAGAGATCATGTGTTGGTTGAACTTGCTTCAGCCTTCTAACTCCACTGAGGACTACAGGCCCTGGTGGTCCCGACCCCAGCACGTGGTCCAGGACCAGACAAACTCCCAGCATCCCGCAAGCCAGTCTAATCTGAAAGCCAGTTGAAGAGGCCGTACCACGACAGTCACTGTCCTGCGCACTTCCTTGGACTCGGGACTGGACCTGGGACTTGTGACTGGGACCAGCTGAGTTATTGTGGGTCATTCAGCCTGCTAACTCACTGAAGACTGCTGGGCCCAGTGCCCTCGACCCGAGCATGGTTCACATGTCTAAGGTTGGGCTAAACAGGCCACAACCAATTTGATTCGGGAACGAAGGTAGTTTAAACCACCAGTTCCTTTCCCCGCTTGAAATCTAAGACGCGCCGGGTAACGCGGTAGCCAAGCGGGGGAGGGCCACCGTTGATAAATCGAATCGACGGCACGTTTTCGTTTCGGGCCTCCAACACTGTGCACGACCGACATACGGAAAAGGTGCTGGTGGTTTAAAAGCCATGTATGTGCAGATGAGCACAGCCTCCAGCTCCACCACCTCAAAAAAAAAAAAAAAGAACACAGCCTCCAGGATCAATTCAGGTTAGGGATAGGACATAATTGCCTCTTATTTTTCTGCAGTTCCATGATAATTGCCACAAATTTGGAACAGTGGCAGAACCGCTGCAGTCAACACACGACCGAGATAGCCACTTGGGAAAGCCATCAGCCACAACATAACTTGCACAGGACATCCGTAAGCCATGCTATGAAGCGTCCAGCATCTTCAAGTTGGCAGAGTGATGCACACACTCCTGTCACCATGACATCAGCAGCAGCACAAAGAAAAAACCCGAGCCACTCATCTCCTCCAATTGCCATAGTTGACTGTAATGTACTTGCGAGACAAGCGGCCATTGGTCATTCTCATCTCATTCACCATCCGACCCCAGTTTGAACCCAAGGCACCAATGAAGTAGTCCGCCTCGGACGATATGAGGAGATTTGCAAAAGATTTTTCCACGACCTCAAAGTTTGGACGAGCGCTTTTTGAATCCCAGCTTTGCCCCCCTTGCATCTCTAGCTTCCAGTCTGGCTCGTCCTTCACTAACCTACGCTGATGGGAGTAGAAAAACTTCCACGAATCATATTGATGGCTCTGGTCCAAAGACTGCTCGACGTCAGTCGTTAGCCAGATGTGCTTCACATTCGGATTGTACTGCCGAATCCGTTCTGCAATCCGCATGAAGGATGGGAGGCCATAGAGCTTCATTTCCTTTGCTTTGAGTGCGCCAGAGCGCACCATAATGCTGATCAACGGGCGAGGGACATACAGACCTCGGCCTGTAGCATGCAAACCATCTTGACGGGCTTTAATCTCATCATCCTCTGTGATGTTGACACGATGCCAGTCATTAAGCCTGTCCTTCACTTCCACAGTGTAGAGGGACTCGTTCCTCAAGCGCCTAGAGGATGCAATAATCCCTTCTGCAACGAGCATTCCAAAAGCACGGTTTCGCACACGATTTACGACCTGGCACAGATACTCGCTAGGTTGACGAAGAAGATACCGAAGGGCCTGTGCCCTCCACCATGGCTTCCGACTTCTACCCCCTTCCCCGAACACCTTTCCATCCATTACGATGGACGATACAGTTTTCTCCCACGGCGAGCCCCATCGCTGAGGGATCTTTCCGGCTGCGCTGACCACATTACCCCACGCCAGGTAAACGAGAGGCAAGTTCTTGTCTTCCATAAGCTCCCGGACCCCTTCACCATTTGCTCTGTAAGGGATGAACCGTCCTGCTCCTTTTGCCTTCGTTCCATGTCGCTTTGCTTGTTGGAGGAGTTCCACGGCACGCTGGTAACATTCGGGCGAGGTTGGCGGAAAGAAATAGCAGTCGAGACGTTTACGCAAATCCCCCTTGCAGTTATCCTGATCCGCTCGCTGGTAGTTCTTGACGGGCACAAGCACGCGTCCTGTTTCAACTGCAAAACCGAAAAACGCTGTCATGCCATGCAGTTGTGACCCCATTCCATGCCCGCTCATAGGCCACCACTCTGCCACAGCAAACCGGACATCTGGAGCGCTACAATCGACTGGATGCTGATGGGCCCACAAGTCCCTCTGCACAATACGAGTCGATGGTAAGTTGTCACCATCAGCACCATAAATCCAGGGAGGAAAGGGCCCAGAGGAGTCTGGAATGCCACCCACCTCCTTCAAGAACGACTTTGGAGGTTCGTCAAGTGCCCAGTCTGGGAGAGAACCATCTGGGTTTCTTCTGTCTGCTTCTGAAAACAATTTAGTCGCACGAGCACAGTCCTGTAAATGAGGTGGGGGCTTAAACTGCAGTAGTAGCTCCTCTACCTCTCTTTCCTCCTCTTGTGCATCTCTCATCAATTGTGCATCCTCTCTCGCTCCGCGGCCCTCATCACTGGCCTCCTCAGAAGCATTAGAGTTTCCACGGCTAGTGAAAAGACTTTCCCATTTCCGAACAACCCTCCTCGCCAATGCAGAGTAACGATTACCGTTCCCATCACGAGAATTGTCATCGAGCCAACCATCAGCGTTCCTGGTTTGCTGCGCTGCTGAGCAATTGCATACAAGGTCACAACCCGAACCATTAGTTGCGCTTGGAACATGGATGGGTGACAGGCTCACGTCAGACATTCGGCCATCTCCATCGTCACTGGTACCATCCAGCACGGAAGAGACACGTCGTGATTGTTGATTGTCACGGCTCTCTGGGGTCGGAGAGACATGAGCGTCGGCGTTACTCCCGACCTCCCGGGAATTAGTCACTGGTCTACGAATGTCATCTCGCCCATCTGTCATAACCGATCCAGAAGTCATCTTTTGAACATCGTGATGATTGTTCGGTTCCAGAACATCAATGATCTGCTCGCTCACTTTGAGAATGACAGCAAAACCACCACTGTTACCAATCACAGCTTGCCGCAGGTTTTCAATGGAAGCCTTGAGAGACCTCCTCTCCATTAGCAATGTTTCATCCTTCTGGATATGGTTGACCCCTACAGAGGACAGTTCCTCGAGGATTCGCTTCAGAGAGCTTTCATCTTGTTTGAGTATCGTTCCGAGTAGCTGCACCCGCTCCGCTAATATGTTCAAAGTGAAATTCATGCTCTTGCCAGACAAGTGTGTTGCAGCAACATCCAAGGAAAGAGGATGCATATCTATTGAACCCAGGCAGGTACATTTTGAAGTCTGGCCTAATATCTTGAAATCCGTGAGCGACAGCAACTGAACTGTTGGGGTAAGTAGAAGAACGCCGACCACAAGACTCATCTTGAAAATGAACGTCATGGGGCGAACTCCGCACCTTTCCACACTTCCAAGCAGCTTTGCCATTGCAAAGAGCTCACGTACTCTAATCGAAAAATGGCTTCTCCGCCACCCTTAGTACACTGAACTGTCAAGGGCCAGCCTCTTCTGTTCTTTCCGCTTCTGGTTTACGAGACAAAGTAAAAGGTGGCATCCTCCAGATGACATTCAGGAAGGGACATCACCCCATCTGAAGTCACTATGACTCGCCGCAATCCGAAACCTCCACTTGCTTTGATAAATATCAAGGATGAACCATTTCAATCACATGCCAACTACTTTGCATTCTAAACAACGATTAAATCTATCATCTACATAGGACTGTGGTTGCGTACCTAGTACCTACACACCCCTCAGGGATCATCATCTGTCACCGGCCCCTGTTTGTTTCTGGTTAAAGTACAAAGGAAGAGCAGGGAGTTACCAAGCCAGGCCCAAAAATCCTCAGATGATGTCCCCAAGATCACCCAGAATATACAGAGAAAGGTGACTTAAGAATGGGAAGTGCATGTAACCAAAGCATACACAAATACACAAGGTCTGCACACAAGACACTGTCATCGTATGCATTGCACAACTCAGCATACAGCAATGAAAGATACCAACACATTAAACTTAGCATACACAAAATATACAGAGAAGGAACAGGAACGTCCGAGTTCATCCTCCCATCACCTGCAGATGCATCCAGGCATAGCATAAAAATCCCGAGCCCACATGTGAGTCCGCACATATATATATATATGCAAACATACACTTCCACACACACACACTTCCACGTCCTTCCCACACTCCCACAGACGCGCACACACACACACATCTGGGTGGAATCGGGGCTGTTGTGGGGAAATTTTAAAACACACTTCAGGAGTTAGACAGCAAACTTGAAGTGAAAGTGAAAAAGGGGGGTTGTCTAGCCATGGAGATAGAGATAATGGTGACGCGAGCGGGTAGTTTGAGATAAATAGCAGTGTCGGTGCTGTTGTACTTGTGCTGGAAGTTGTGCAAATGATCTTGTGTCTTTGTTGACTGACTTGGAGGGCTCTCCAAGTTTTTTCAGACCATTGGCGGATGTGGTCAATGCTTTCTTGTTGGAGGAGCCTTCTGTGTTGACATTGTTGAGTATGTTGCCTTTCACCCTCGATCCGTTTATGGACTATAATATATACATATATTATATATATTGTCACATAACTATGAACTAAAAGAGCGCAATTTGCGAAGCAAAAGGCAAAAAAAAAAAAAAAAAGACAAACATGTAGGGCACAGTAACCATTCATTTTACTCATTCTTCTTTTGACTCCCCTTTCACTGTGCCTCTCACGTACAAGGCTCGCCACGTTGATGAAGTTGAGAGCGAGCTGCCCCCATCCCCGTGTGCCATAACAACCCACTTGTACGCTGTGAGAAAGAGGCAGAGTGAAGGGGGAGGGGACAAACACAGGGAGGAGAGATGGAGAGCAGAAAAACAAAGAACGATAAAGGGAAAGTAAGGGAAAGTATGGAGTGTGGAGTGAAGATGAAGGCAAAAGAGGATAATAGAAGGGCCTTTACCCGATATAGGCCTCAGGCCTTGTAAAATAAAGCAGCACGGGCCTTGAAAAAGTAAAGCATTGTGAAAAGGTAACTCGCCAGAGCTCAGAAACGTGAAAGCAGGTCAAAGGTCAAGCTCTCTATTAACAGGCATATCTAAAGCTAAGGCAAAAGGCATTATCAAAAGACTTACCTGTTCACCAGGAGATGTGTATGTCATGTCTGTTTGGGTAAGGGTGTGTCTGTACGTGCAGGCAGTGTACCTGTTGGTGCAAGGTAAAGTGTCTGTTCAAGCAAGAAATGTCTGTTCGTTGAGAGTTGTGCCTTTCCGAAAGTAAAGTCAATAGGCACAGTCCCAGTTCTGGTCTAAGTCCAGGGGTCAGTCCAGATCCAGACTTTCAAGTCCAAATTCAGGCCGGGAGGCCTCAGCAGCAGTTGAATTTCATTGGGATTCTACTGGGACACATGCAATGCAGGGTCTGGGACAAGGAAAGAGGCTGAATTGAGCCAATGCAGACCCAGCGAGGAGTATAAAGGAGGCAGCCAGCCTCATTCCTCGCCAGATCTCCACTGGCTGTATCAACGTGGAAGTGCTGGAGCACTTGTGCGTTAAAGTCAGTAGGAGCAGCGCTGGAGGAAG